TTCCTGCCTTTTTCTTCTTTCATTCTTTTTTTTTCCATTTCCGCCTTTACGCCGTGATGCTAATCGGTTAAAAAAATCGCGAACAAACAATATAATGGCTGTTAGCTGGCAATCAACGTTCTATGCATATGCATCAGTTATTGGGCAGGGCTGAGTAAAATATTATTTTTAATAATAAAGAATGAATAATTTCAAATTACGTGCTTACTGAAATTATGTTTTAGAAATAGTATTCTATTCGTCTTGAAATTTATTTCATTTATTGTAACTCTTTGAGCACTTAGTTTAATACCGAATGGAAATTATGTAATAAATTAGAAATGCATTTGTCTTTAAATATAGATGCATTATATGTTCTTTTCTTCGAACTACTATAATGTGGAAGTAAAATAATTATTTTAAATATCTCAGATTATTTGTACGATACTCTAATATGAATTAAGCATTCAAAGAGTTAATCCATTTCAATATTTTTAAAATTTGATTAATATAATGTTTATGATCAAATCTCTTGAAACACAGTGAAAAAATTGCAATGCTTGTTAGTAAAGAAGAAATCGATCCAAAAAGACATCTTTACAATTGAATCACGCCTCGATTTATTTTCCCAACAAATAAAAAAGTTCAAACATCTATTTAAAACACACGAGATTGAAATATTTCATATTCAAGCGTAGCAGATCATTAAAAAAATATCTTATCTTTGTACAGAATCCAATATTTCCCTGCAAATCTTTCCCTTCGCTCTGTCATCATCGGGATAACGGGGGGGAAAAAGAATAGAAGATCGGACAGACGCAACATGTCTGACATTTGACGCATTAACAAAAATCCATAGACAGCAGAAACCAAAACGTTCGGAATAGGAGAACCATGGAATAAATTGTCGAGTTTAACTCTGTGTGTCTCGATTTCTATTGAAAAAAAAAAAGAAAAAAAAAGGGGGGGAGAAAAAAGCAAAGTCTTCGAGCTCACGAAGTCACGGAATCACGATTCATAAATATCAATGAGGAAACCTTTAGCCGAACGTCGCGAACCGATAAAACTTCGACAAATTCGACGATCGCCACGTGAACTCCGGCCAGTGCGCGAGCAGAGAATCTCCGGGAACTTTTAACAAAGTATTCTTACGACCTGGAAGGGAAATAGATGCTGCCAGTTGTTGAACGATGAAATGAAGTTCTGTACTTTGGACATTGTACGTCACAATTATGGCAGATGAGAATAAATATGGCAAGTATAAAACCTTGTGCGTGCACTATATTACGTAAGGTTAACCAACGAGATCGACAAGCTGCCACAAGTTTGCTTTGAAAATAGGCATCCAATGAGACTGTTCACTTTTATAGATGAAGGTTAGTCGAAACGCTTTTTCTTCTCTGTTTTAAGTTTTAACTTTCCACGCGAATATGTTTTCAACTTTTGTCGCAACAGTTTGGTTTCCTACAGTTTTGCATTTGATTGCTAAAAATCTTGGTGGATCATTACTTTTAGGGTTAAATATTACTTAGCTTTTGGCAGAAACTGAAGCAGGATATAATATAAAAAAATTGTAATTTTTATTAAAACTATTTCCTACTCTAGCAACGATTCGTCGATTTTAGAAAGAGCATTATTTCCCGAGCTTTCGCATCCCTCTTCTGCACGAACATTTGTATACAAATGAAACTTCGCTGAATGGTTCCTGGTTTTAATTTCAGGCTCATGTACCCGATATAATATTTTCTCTTTTCAAGAAATCTGTTCGCAACAACTTTAATTTATGCAGAGGAGAATAAATATTCCTGTTTAACCGGAATCTTTTTCTACTTCCGAGAAAATGAAAGTTCCCTATTTGTGCAAGAAAGTATAAAAGTCTCAGTGAATAGATTACACTTTGTAACTTTATCTTTCTTGTTTCAAGAAAGATAATAGTAAAAATATTGTGTTTTAATTAAGAATTTTAACACTTTTCTTCGATCCCTGTTTAAAAATGGAAGAAAGTCCTTTTTAGAAGTAGAATGTAGTAATTATAAATGGTAAATATATTCACTAACAGTCTATAAATTTAAAACTTAAGTCCAAAATTTCTAAATGTATAGACATAGAGTAAAAAGCAGTAACTGGCAAAGGAAAATTGTTGATAATTTAAACTTCCTGTTTTCTCCTTATTTTAAAGCGTGAAGCCTCTGCTTTGACAATTTTGAGTTTTAGTTTTTTTAAAAGATGCTTTCACATCATACAGCGAGTGAGAAAATGAAGATATACCTAATTTGTACACTGTAAAAAATCATTGTAAAGAATCAAACGCCTCCAAAAACGTTAAAAAGTTTTTTTCGTAATTAAATCTATCATCGTTTTGGAGATCGAAGTCTCTTCTTTACAACGATTCCCTAAAAATCGTGACACGATTCTTTTCACCATTTTATCGAACGTTGAATATCAGAGTTAAACGACAAAAATTCGAAAAATCCTAACATATTTCGTCATCCTAATGTTCCAAGTTAAGTAAAATAATGAAGAAGAAATCATACGGCGAATTTTGAAAAGGAAAAATTTCGATCTTTAAAACTATAGCAGATTTAGTTATGAAATCATGTTTTACAATTATGTTTACAGTTCTCGAGAAGTGTGCCCTATGATATAAAGTCATCCTAAAAAAAAGTCGAACTTACGATTGTCAAAATGTTACATCAAACGTTTAAATTATCGACAATTTTTCATTGTCATTGGTACAGTTACGCTCTTCGCTGTGTACGTAGATTTCTGTGACCGAGCACAGATGCACGATGCACGTTGACGTAAAATTACAATCGATACTGTTAATTCATCGAAAATAACGACAAAGGAGAGGAAACAGGACGCGAGAGTAATAACGCTAAATGGCATTATTATTAAATCTTTAAACCTATCAATTCATCTTCGTATCGCAAATTACAACGATGTTTTCGTGATAGTTGGAAACCCATGGAAATCACATTCGTGTAACATCCGAGGAATGTGTCCGTCGCGTTATTAAATATCGATGAATACCGTTATTTGTTCCCTTTGAGTTTAATTAAACCGACGGCGAATAATATAACTGGCCACGAAATTTTCGAAATGATAATGACGCGAAATTCTTCGCGGTAATTTAACCGTGAATATATCGCGCCTCGCGAGCCATAAAAGAAGGGGAGATAAAGTTGGTGTTAAATTAATACTATCCTCTAATGAGGGTGAAAACCGGTATCTCGAAAGTTCGTTGCGTAAAAGGTTAATTACTTAGGCGATTAAGCGTGCCAGACAATAAGCTGGCCGGGTTAAAAAGGCAGATTGATCGATCTGGCCTTTCTCACTTCATTTTGCCCGGGTGTTTCAAAACTGTAAGACCATCGGTAAATATTTGCGCTGTTTTAAACGATTTTAATTTCCTCCCCCGTGTAGGCGACGACGAATCTTTCCTACAAGATTCTGTGTTTACTTTAATTAGATGATTTTCATCGAAAGTGAATTCCTCGTTCCTTGTAATTAACGCATTTGTCTAAGGATAATTCGATTCACCTTCTGTTCACTTACTGTTCGCTGAAATTACCGAAAGTTTAACATCACGTAAAGATCATGCAAGCGTACATCTTTTAATACAATTATTCGATCTGCTTGAATCTCGATTTAAATATTCTAGATACTTAATATTTGAAATATTATAAATTATATTAGAATATTTCAGATCTGTGGTATTCTAGCACGGATTAAACACTCAAGATTTCAGAAATTTCACCCGTGGATTCAACTCACTAAATAAAAGACAAAAGAAAAACATCTGTTTTCTCTCTTTTTTCCAATAATTCTTTTGATAAACTCAGTCGTTCATTTCATTGTTATAAATAACGTTTGATACGTCATGTACAATCTTACAGACACTCCACTGTGTAAAAATCTCCTCGTTATGTTTTTAGGTGAGTCGTAGGTTAGAGTAGCATAAATCATCAATAACTGGAAATGTATTAACTCCTTGAATGTTCAGTCCATATTGGACTATCATAATCTGAGATATTTAAAAGAATTAGGTTACTTGCGCATTAGAGATTTAAAGACAATAATATAATATATTTAATAAATATATGAGATACTACCAACGATTAAAGGATCAAATTTCTATTAGAGACACTAAAATAAAAGAAAAAAAAAATAGAAAACTTTATAACACAATGATGCACAAGCTTTTATTGCTTTATAGCACTTTATGAGAAGTCATTTAAATCTTAGTGTTCTACGTCTATAAAATATCTAATAAAAATTATAAATTGACCATTTTGACTACTCTGATAATTTTATGATAATTTTAGTAAGTACTCAATAGAGCCTTGTAAGAGTTTATATTTTATAATATTAATAATATTAATAATATTTTATAATATTAATTAATTATAAATATTTATAATATATATAATAATATTATAATATTAATAATATTTATAATATCATAATATTTATAATAATAATAATAATGGTAGCTTGTACAAATATAGAAATGGCAAGCATGCATTTAATGTACGGTCTTGATAAAAACAATTCATATTGGCAAATAGTTTTTCTACTAAATAGAAAAAAACTTGTATTCAATAATACGTGTGATTAATATAGTACAAAAAAAGTCTAGATCTTGGAAATGGTTATGTTGAGGTACAAAGTCTTGTATAAATATCTCATATAAGTATTATACAAGAGTTTACGAACTCTTGTACAATATTTGAATGTAAACTATTATATAAACTTTAATAATAACACGTTGCTATTTATCTAGGAATTAACCTAAAATAGCTGTTTCAATTCACGACGAAACTATGGATTTACCGCTTGATTTAAGGTACGCATTTGAAAAAAAAAAAAAAAAAGAAAGAAAGAAGAAGG